CCTCTGGACCTGTATACAGCGGTCCAGTATACGGAGGTTATTCCAACGGAGGAATGGGAGCTGGCTCAAGCGCAATGCTCGGAGGTGTCGCTGGAATGTTTGGCGGTATTCTTGTGGGTCAAGCGCTGTCTAATGGCGAATACCACGGATACCATGGAGGCGATACAGGATTCGGAGGAGGCGAAGAGTTCGGAGGAGACTTCTAGCCAAACTTTAGATAATAAAAATAAATTAATTGAGGAATTATCCTAATGTGACGAGGTTTGCTCTCCGGATCATTTGCTCGAAGCGGAAGAGCACGTTACCCGTTTCAACAAAGAGATATCTGGCTTGAGCCTCGTCCATGCAATCTCCATGTCCACCGTACGAGAACTGTACGTGGTCGTCGAACATGTCGAAGCGCATGTAAGTATACGCGTCACGTAGATAAATTACGCAATTTCTATTAGAATTCGCGATATCTTCGGGAGGCGGGACGACAAGCGTTAGAATCGACAGCGACTTATGGCCATTTTCATCTTCATCTGCCACCTTTGATGATATGGCGGATACGACGCGAGCGACTCGCATCCGGGGAATTACGCATGAGAATAGTAGTATACGCGTCCACACGTTGTAGTACTCGGACATCAATTGCCGAGCGATAACACTTCCTATACATCTCTGGGTTGTTGAATACTCTCCAGCCTTCGATCGCCAGCTCTTGTGCCAGCATCTCGCTGTCAGAACATGGAATATGCTTCATGAAATGGAACTCCAATGTCCGTCTCTCACTTAAGTATCGCTGCACAGTCCAGCCGAATAACTGCACCGGTTCTTCGCTTAACTGTTTTTGTCATGAACATGGCGTGGTGACCTTTGATGGTCTAAGATTTTTCACGAATGAGGTTGTAGCAGGTCAGCAGACATTGGCTCGTAGTAAAATGGCTCCGTGTCTTCTGCGAAATAGGACTAAAACCCCGGACGGTTCAGCGCCTGCACAGTCTTCGCTGGTTGTTCCGTGTCTACTTTTGTGTCCATCACTTCGGGGGTGTCCACCCGTAGCGTCGTCTCGAAGATGGCCATCTGCTCCAGTCTCTGCGCTAACGCCTCATTCTCGCGATGTATGGCGTTCTCCGTCTCCAATGCGTCGATATACTGAGCCATTAGTTCGTTCGAAGGCGGGTGCTGCTCGCTTTGGTTCGAATTATCCGCCGCTCGTCGCATTCTCCATGCAACCATGCCGGTCTCCAGCTTCGTGTGGAGGTTTTGGTATTGTTTCCGCATTGACTCCATAAGCGCGTTGTGTCGAGATCTGCCTCGTGCCATATTTTCACGATGGCGACGTTTCTTGGCCTCGGTCCTGCTCTCTGGCGAAACGTCCGTAGCCTGTTGTACATGTACGATTGCATCCACGTCCACAGAGCTTATGATTAGGTCGGTGGGGGACAGCGGAGATCTCGCCATGGTTCACAGTGGATAAATGTCAAGTGAATGTCGACTGGTCGAGCTCGGCTGGCGATCGATGGTGAGGGAAGGGAAGGGATGAGTTCACGTCAAGCTTCTGGCCTCAGGTTTACGGTAAAGGGTTGATTGCCTAAAAGTACTCTGACTACGTTATTAATTTGACCTAAATCTGAAAGCCATGTGAATAAAAAAGGGGGAAAAGTCAAAATGTAATTTGGTCGGAGTTCATACTGTATTACAGTAATACTGTAGAGAGCTTCGCAACTGTCAGAGTTCATAGTTAGACTAATGGGTTATAAAAGGTTTCAGATTCGAACTGGGGAGCTTGATCATTTCGCAAATTATAATCCTAAGGCCGGTTCCTAACGGGATCACGTGAAACCATGATCTATTTAGGGTAAGGTATAACAACGAATCGCCGATTCTTCATTCCTAACAAGAGCATGATCTGACGAGTCGCAAAGTCTGCCTCCAGTACTTTCATTGTGTAACGGGCCAGGTATTTACTCCGCTACTTGCTTACGCTACGAGCTGAAGCAGGTAGCGCGTGAGCGTATGACGCCGCGACCACGTAGTCCTCGCGTAGGGCGAGAGCGAATGCCTCTTCGAGCGTGGAGGGGTCCGATCTTGTAAGGCAGTAGCGCGTCATGCCTTCGCGCATACCGAACACGAATACATGAACCTGAGAGGCCATATCGATCGGCTTAGACACGATGCACGACGCGAGGTGTCGTGTCTTCTGGACGTAGGCGCGCATAGTCATCGTGCCTTGCCGAAGGGCGAAGAAGTCTGCCCGAATTCGGGATTCATCTTGCGGCGGCTCGAACGCGAGCCAAAGGTCACTCTGGAGGGTATCCAGAGTGGGGAAGACGTTGGGATCGACAGCCAACTTGGCGAGAGCCCATTCCTTGGCTTTCCCAGACAACCGCGAGAGGAGGAAATGGACCTTCGCGGAAGGCGCCTCGATCAACCTCGAGGCGATGGCGATGTCGATCTCTCGAAACCAGCGATTCAGCGGAAGTTGATCTTCTCCGGCACCGGAGTAGGTGGACGTCTCTAGCTTCACGACGTCATTCGTGGAGATACGCGAGGGAGTTGACACTCGCCGATTCGCATCGGCGAGCTCGCGTTCCATGAATTTTAGTACCGCAACGCGCTGCTCGTCGGGCGTCGCTGAGCGCAGCAGCGACGTGACGACGGCTTCTCCGGACACCGCCGCGAGGCGGTGGAGAGCTTCCCACTCGATCCGAGTGAGATGGAGAAAGACAGCGTGGTCGAGGTCTTGGCTCATGTCGAACTTGGTCGTGAA